ACCTGGAAGAACAACACAGTATTTTTGTTGAAAAAATCCTGACTAAGAAGTAATTTTTATAAGAAGAAATCCCTTGCCTGTAAAATATGGTTTGACGGATAAAGCGAGTTTTTTCGGGAATCATACGTAGCAGAAAATATATGAAAATCATTAACCGACAACCATCCTTCGTTTAAAAAGTGCGTAGGCCACTTTAAGCCACATCGCCATATTACATTTACCCGTTTTGGCTTCAAAGTCAAAATATCAATTAGTAACAACTATATTCTAATAAAAATCAAATACTTAGTTAGCCGTAAAAATTTTGAAATTTTGAAAAGTGTTCATCAAAGGTTCATCTCAATTAAAATTTATTTAGTGAAAAAAAAAAGATGAAAAAAGTGTTAATTCTGTAGCAGAATTATGTGTATTTTATTGAGAATAAAAAGACAAGTCAGCGGTAATTCAAATAGAGAAAAAAAATGCAAAAAACCTGTTCAACTACTGGAAGAATTTCAGCTTTTCCGTTTTGAAGATCATACATATAATTCAAAGCTTCAAGAGCATAGTCAAAGTCTTCATTGAAACTCGTTTCTGCATTTTGTTCAGGATAATTGTCGCCAGGGTCCTGGTCACTAATTAAATCCAATAAAAGTGTGAGCAAAAAAAAAATTACAGAAAATGCGAAAAGACGGATCCTAGAGTGCCAAATGGATGAAGTAAAACTTGCGCGACCCATCTGTCTAAAATACCTAGCATAACAAGCAGCAATTTTATTTTGATTTTAAACCATAAACTATTTTAGCCTTCTAATACTTATATAAAGGTAAAATATAACTCCAAAATCCTTGTATACACTTACACTGAATAACTTAAAATCTCAGTCCCAGAGGAATCAACTGCACGACATAACAGAATTCAGAATTATAGAACAAATTAATATGATCAGTCGTCAAACGCAGACAGATAACTGATCACTGCAACGGTTTGAAACCGGCATTAACGATTGGGTCGCTGCCAACTCCGTACCCGTGCAGTACCTGCGCCAACCCACTTAGTAACACAGATTTCTGTAGAAATAAAGTTTAAGATTTGATTCAATTTTTTATAAAATAAAATTTTCCATTTTTTACTGCCGGCATTTGATAATAATAATTGGTATTTGCGAGTATGAAA